GCCGTGGCTTCGTGCCGCAGCGCTGGCGGCTCCGAAGGGAGAGAAGCCTTGACCCCACGGCGCCAACAAGCTCTCCCCCGGCATTAACCCTGTCTCAGCACTGCAACTGTTGCTCCGCAGGCCGCCAGCAAAATCCACCTGGTAAAAACACCGCTCGGGAGCGCTGAAGAGAAAGGCGTGGAATGATCTTAAGTTGTTGGGGTTTTACAGGGCAAAGATGGAACTTGGAGAAAATGGACTAAAGGTATTTGGTGTTTTGCAGCAGGCCGGGTGGAGGATGGCACCTCTTGCTTCCCGCACGTGCACACCGCAGATTGCCTGGTTTCAGGGCAATAGAATGCACAGTGCAGCACAGCCATTTCCTGCACGGGTTAGTTACGGCTGAGGCCAAGAGAAGGGAAGAAGGTACCAGAGTTACTACACTATGAAGAAATACACCGAGTTTTCCGAATGATGCAGGGACCCACCAGGACTTCAGCAAGATCTAGAAGCGACAATGCCAAAGGCAACTTGACGAAACCGCCTTTTCCATGCTCAGTGAGAAGGAGGTGGGGTGGGCTGCCAGCAGTGACACAGTAGCCCATACCCCAGGTACTGGTGGCTGACAGCCTGTAAAGGTCCCCACAAGCGATAGCTCTTGAGGAAGCCGGTCAGATCTGAAGGATCCTTCAAGATACCCCCAATCAACCAGGAGCTCCCCATGGGAGGTTCTCTCTCCCTCTCTGCAAGACTTCAGGGCAGGCAGATGTGGCCACCTAACGTCTTCATCCCTAGAGACCAGCCACCAGTGGCCAATACTCTTCCTCACACAAAACGGTTTCAGCATCTCATCATCCTCAGAACCTGTCACCAGGAGATGACAATGAGACTTTCCTCCTGCATTGAGTGAGGAGTTTATGCTTACAGTGACAGAAATGAGTGCCCTCAGTAGGACACGGATGCTCGGTGGTCCTGGGAGGGGAGGCAGGGGCACCCGCTGTGACCTGAGCATTGCACAGCTTCTGCAGTCACAACAGCTTACAGGTCAACTTAATGGCATCCACCTCCGCTGTTCACATCGTTTTCAGAACCTGGGGCCTTTTATTCCTGATTATGAAGTTCTGTGTCTTCATATTAACGCCCATTACATGGAGGGGGGAAAGGTTACGGTCACCTGCTGCACACTCCCCACCCACCTCCAACACAGCAACCTCAGTACTGGGAGCTGGTTCTAATGTCAGTCATTTCTCGGGAGCATTGCTGCTGAGCCAGTTTGAGTCACGGTCTACAAAGGCTCGCTGTAACTTGGGATGGACCTGTTGGAACAACTGCATCTTTTTAAGATATTTGCCTGACAAAACCTATTTACTACTTCCCGCGCTCCAGTACTTCAACTTTAAAAACTTCCTAATAAGCTTTCATTCTCCTGTTGTTGAAAATGAAGACACACGGGTTGCTACAGAAAGATGTCCTTGTAGAAGGTCTTCTCCTGTATGGTTTCCTTCAGCGTAACAAAGGCTGTCTCCGGCTCTGCTGCTTCTCCCCCCACACGCGCCCCGGTGTGCTATGCCAGTACAATACACTTCCACATTAGTTCAAAACAAAGAAATTCATCTGCCCACATCAGAGTCTAGCTACAAAATATAGACAGGACTTCGAAGTCAAGGCCTTGCGAAGGCTTCTTCTTAACTTCCAAATCACTTGGGGCTCTGAATCCATTAAGCGAATTGAAACTGGTTTTCCTGATAGGAAAAAAAAAAAGAAAAATCCTCCTGTGCTCTGGGCCTGTGTGCCACTTGGGTTTGGAGAAAGCAGAAGCGGGGAGGATTTGGGTGTGCAGAAAGTCCTTGAACTGGCTCCATTTCCTCTTGTACACCGCGATGATGCAAACAAAGCGGGTTAAAAACTCGGTAGTTTTCCTATGTTTGACAAATGGGCTATTGGAAAGAGCTCGGTAACACGGAGGAGAAATCCACACCATCTCCAGCGACGGAGCCCTGACCCCTTTCCAGCCAGGCTGGCTGGGCAAGAGGCCAGATCACGGCACAGCAGCCACCAGCACCCCAAAAGCGCTCCGACTGCTACACCCAGACGGGAACCTCAGCTGCCAGCGAGATCCTCCGCGTCTCGCTGAACTCCTGAGCGCTTACCTGAGGGTTTTGGTACTGGGTAGCTCTGAGTCACCGCTGTGACAAAATTAAATCCAACGAGGAAGGAGAGACTCGTTCTGGACCTCGGGTCTGCATGGCCAGCATCAGCTGCAGCCCTCTCCAAGGCAGACTCTGCTTCTGCTGGCCGTGGAGGGCTTTGCTATGGAAAGTACGAGGTGCTGGACGTGAGGGCAGGGGCCGGGTGAACTCCAAGGCCAGCAACGGGCTGTCCAGCCCCAGGTAGTCACAGCGGGCACAGGGCCAGCGCAGGATGAAGAGAGGCCTTCATAGGGAGCACAAAGGGCAGCCTGTGGTGGGAGAGCGCCGGCAGCTCGAGTGTGGAGCACCGCGGAGCGCTGCGGTTCTGATGAATGTTCAATAAACTTGTTTACAGAAAGGCAGGGCTGCGTGCGTGTGCGCGGAGACCAGAGCGCGCTGTCTGGGCGCCCTTCCCTTCTTTGTCTGCACAAGGCAGGAAATTTCCTTTTCTAATGGGGTGAAAAGCAGAAAAAAATTCCACTGGAAGCCCCTGTACTGGGGAGAGCTACCTCTCCACTCCCAGGGCAGCAGAAAACCATTCCGCTCCTGGGATGGCTCGCCACGCAGGCCGGCTGCCCAGTGCCCGGCTCCGAGGTCGCAGAGAAGAACAAACGTAAGAGGGCTCGAGCCCCTCCAAAATGCGACTGAGAGAAAGCACGGCGTCTCTCCTACAGCCCAGGATCCGAACAGGGGATTCATCGGTACAAAGCTCTTCGAGAGCTGCTGGCCCTGCTGCGCGAGGGCGACTGGCCCAGCAAAGGAATCCAGTGAACCTGGGGTATTTCAGGGGAGCAGAGGGACACAGGGAGGCACCAACCGCTCGGTACAAACCACTGCTGCAAAGCTGAGCCAAGAGCACACAGGAAAGCTGGCAATGCAGGAGACAGAGCAAATACGCACCGAATACTGGAAACCTGAAATACTGTGAAAAAACCTTAACTCGGAGAGGAAGCAGATCAAAGTTTCACTGGAAATGAATCAATTTCTGCAGAGTGAAACAAACTGTAACAGTTAAGAACAGACCTTACCTGATCTTGGGGGAAGAGCACGGCCACTGCTTCTGGGAGCATGAGCAAGCTACAAACTGAAACTGTGCTGAAGTGATTAGTGTTCCACTACACAAAACAAAAATTCAAAGCTCGGGGGTTTAAGAAGGAAAACATCCACTTTTCAGTGCTCATTTCTTAGCTACTTCAGAGGTTTTGCAGCAAGGTGTCCTACAAGGGGAGCATCTGTGGGAGAAACACCAGCTACAGTAATTCTGTTCTTTGCACCCGCAGATGTTCTGTCTAGGCGCAGTAATAAATTCCCCTACCCTACAAAAGCTACTTTAAAACGAAATAATTTCGCCTCCTAGAAGGCTGGCCGTGATCTCCCTGCTAGGCAGGATGCTCAGAACAAACTGGGAGGGAACTGCGATCCAGCCTTGCTCCCGGGCTTGGAAGGCAGGACAAGAATTCAGGCAAGCAAGCGCTGTGCTCTCGCCCGTTCCCTTGGCCTGAGCCACCCCTTCACAGCCTCGTCGGCCCTTGGAGAAAAAGGCTTTGAGGGAAGCAGTTCCCCACAGGAGTTTCCACCCGTAAGCTCACAGCCCATCTATGGAGTCGGCCTGGAGGAGTTTTCCCTCTTGTAACGCCCGTCTCAGACCAAGAGAGCCTCCGAGGCTGACCGTGCCCTCGCTTCCCCCAGCCCGCACAGCCGCGCTGGAAGCAGGAGCAGGCAGGGCTGAAATTAGCAACCCCCTCCGCAAAAAGCAGCGCTTCACCTTTCCCACCGCCTCGCTGAACTCCCGTCGCGGCCACGCACCTTCCCGGCGCTGCCGCCTGCCTCGCTACACCCAGCGTTAGACCGAAACTCGGACAGCGTGGATGCACGCCTCGGCTTTTCACCGAGCTAGGCGTTTTCATGGACATATTTCATATTTCTACTTACGGCAGCTGTGGTACAATGCTCTGCTGTAGCAGAAAGCACAGAGGGAACCAGAAACGGGCACGCACGCCTTAGCCAGAGAAAAATGTTTCTTTCCACGACTAACTTCTTCCTGCCATGAGAAGCTGACAGATAACCTGTGCCACGAGCTGCTGAGAGCACCCCGACTACCGCTGGCTGATCTGTCTGCTGATCTACTGGCACTAGTGCTCCGAGGCACTACTGCTGTTCGGCTTCGGAGAAACGACAAAGGATTTTCTCCATTTTCCCCAACGAAAAACACGGTCTCAGGGTGGAGAATACATTCCTACTCACTGCCAAGCTAGTTTCCATTAATCAGTTATAATTCAATAAATGCTTACGGCCGTTTTTAGGGGAAGGAGAGGAGGTAGGCAAGGAGAGAGAGGCAGGTTAGTAAAAGATGTCCCTCGTTTTGGGGCTTTAAACGCAAACGAAGCTCCTTACCTGTCAGCACAGCAGGGACCAGGATGCCGCACAGCGTAAGCAGGACCAGATGCAGGACTCTGTGGTGGGGCATGGCTTCCCTCAGGAAAAGCGTC